CGTTTTTGTATGTCTTCGCCTCAGACCACCTTGACTTTTGATTAGCTAACCAACAATCACAAAGATATCAAATAAGAGAAGATATCAGAAGATATAGACTTCTTCACGCGGCAAAGGTCTGGCAGGCGTGTGTTACTAATGTGTATTTTTCCACTTAATATATATGGGGCACTTAAAATGACGATTGTCAAACTAGGCTACAAGAGGTTAAGGTAGGTTAAGTCTGCATACGAGCCAAGTGGCCCATCAGTCCAACGTTTATCTCTGGTTTCTGTAACATGAAGTGACTACGAGTATTTCTACTCCCCCCTGGATGGGATGCTAGTCCATCGAGGGGATACCCCCAGCATTAAGTTCGCCGGTACCCATTTGTACACCTGGGTGCAGAGAGGCGCTGTGAGAGTAAAGTGTCTTTCCTAAAAACACAACACAAAATCCCTGGCCAGGGCTCGAACCTGGACCGCTCAATCCGGAGGCGAGCGCAAAAACCATGAGGCCACCGCACCTCCAGAACCATAAGTCACCACCCTGAGCTACAAGAACAGAAAGGTTATTGTAATCACCATGCTTACCTGATCACATCCAGCACTCGTACCACCTTTGACTGTAACGAACTCAACAGATCTGTACCAAGCTTGGTGAGAAGGCGTGACAACAGAACGAACAACCAATCATGAAGATCTACTTTGTTGACGACTATAAAGTCACACAACGCGTCTAAAAACAAACTGTAAACCTACAGNAATCATGAAGATCTACTTTGTTGACGACTATAAAGTCACACAACGCGTCTAAAAACAAACTGTAAACCTAGAGACAAACACAAATCAAATGATTACTATAGCTCTGACTTCTTTGTGTTTTTCGGCGATAAATTCTTTTACCAGGTAAGTAAAGTTTCAGACCGGCATTGAACAATTAGGAGTTATAATTTCACTTACATTATTTGAACAACGACTTTGAACAGCTAATGAACGCCCTGTTTATCGAAATTATTGATATTGCATGGTGACGCGAAATTTTATTGCTTTTCTGTAAGTTGTGTTCCTGTTATCTTAAGTAGTTTCACAGTGATTTCCTTCGTTTCGACATGCTCCGAATAAATATGACAGCCAAACTCTCGCATGTAAACAAAAACAAAGGTGTGGCTGACTAGGGCCCTTTAAGTAAAGCCAGTGGCAGTGAAGGCTTCGGCACCGTGTGTTAAAACAAGGTTTCAAGGTTTGAAATATATTAAAATAATAAGTAAAACATTAATAATCCACTAGAGATGATATTTTACCTTATTGTGTGGATCGAAAAACAATCTGGTGAGACATTCCTTTATCCGTCCAAGTTCTATTTGGCTGTTGGCGACAAAACCAAGAAACTACGGTAAGTTAATTCGATGTAATTTCCCTTTACTAGAGAGGTTTTTATTCGAGTGTCAAAAAACCAAAGCCAGAGTTATCACTCTGAACAATCACAAAGGACGCAGAAACCCAGTGAACCAATCAAAACTCGAAGTAACAACATGTAGCTGACGCGAAGCGCGGGAAAACGTGTACAGGCGAGTCACAATTGGTTTTGGTTTTACTTCTGATTGGATGAAAAGTGGCGCGGGTTTTTTAAGCCAATCGTACAGCGTAGTGATCCAAAAGCAATCACTCTCCGACACTTCACGAAAACCACTCTATCTTATCACAAACTTAAGCAAGCAGTTTTCTAGAATATAGGAAATAATCATCTAGGATAAAAGCCTGACTAAAACTCTCCTACGAGAACGTGTGAAAAAAGCTATAATAATAATAACCACATTTATTTATTGAGGGTAACACTCAACAGTTATCATTGACAGGGCTCGAAATTGCGACTCACTGGTCGCCAATGCGACCAAAAATTGAGCACTGGAGACTAAATT